ATTTCTAGGTAAGGCAAAAGATCTCCCTTGGGGTGTGGGGGGAGAAGTGATTAATGTCAGGACTCCAAATAGCATCCAAAATTAAATCAGAGTCCAAGGCAAAGGATTCCTCAAAGTTCCAGTTTATGAAGAGAGCCATGTTGGCACATCTGGGGAAACCCAAATCTGAAAGCTTCCCGGTTTTCCCAAATTAGTTGAAAATTTTGCCCCCACGCCCACAAGTCCATCCCATGGTCCAATCTCCCACTGCCACGCTGGCAGTTCCACCCGTCCAGTTCCGCTCAGGTGCAGAGACAAAGGATGACCTTGGCTTTCTGGAAAGAATGTCGTTATGGCTACATATCATCTAACTCCATACAATCCCTCCCCCCCTTCCATTTTCCCACCATCAAAAATGCATAGTAGAGGTGTTTTTGGAACCCTGACATTCCGCAATTCCTTTTACAGGGTGGCTGTGGACCATGGGTGGCAGGGAAGTCCAGCACAGGCCTTTTTGACATGGGGTAAACAAAAACCAAAGCAAGACAGAGCTTCAGAACCACAATGGAGATAGAACACGAGGAGAGAGATACAGGAGGAGAGACGCCCTCACATGGCCTCCCTTATATATATATAGCTTCTTAAAGTGACAGTAACCCTACTGACTCATCCTCATGTCATCATCTTGGTTTACAGCCTTACAGCAGCTGGTCGGCTATTACCTTGACAGAAGGACCATTCCCTTCCTGCAGAGGAAACCTCTCAAGGCTACATACTCTTTTCCTGATTCGTCTCAACCTTTAAAGCGGAGTTTTGCCCCTCCCTCTCTTACCTGGCATGCTCCATGCCCCGGTACCGCTGTACTAGGTCTTCCACACCCGGGCTCCAAGGGACAACGGCGCTATGCATTATGGCCAGCACCCCTTCGAAGATCAACTGGAAAGAACAACCTGACCGTTACCCCACGCAAAATTATTCCCCATCCCGCCATCCGGAGTCGTTCTCTGGCCTGACGCACCTCTAAGTTGGACATGCAGCCCAAGACAGCGATGGCTTTCGCTTCCCACATCGTGTCAAAAACGGAGGACGAACGTGTGCGGTGGCACAGCAGCAGGTCCTGGGGGTGGTGAAGGATTCAGAAAGAGGCCGGGGACTGTTGGAGCACACACACACACACACACACCCGCCCCAACCCGACAAAGTCGAACGAGATCAGGGACGCGTCTCTACCTTTATGTACTGCAGGAGGATCTCATCTTTTTTTATATAATGGTGGCGCATGTACGGTTCGATATAATTCTCTAAAGCCGCAGGGAGGAGTTCGGCTGCCCGGATTTTGTCAAGCATACGGAACACAATTGTGTTTGCGGTTTCCTAGAGGGCGGCGGGAGGGAGAAAAACCAAGACTGGTCATCGTTCGGAATAGAAGCGGCTCCGTGCCATGTTGGCAGCTGAGCACAAGTCGTCTTCACAAGGATTCATTCTCTATTCTGTCATATCCCGCTCCCGTTTCAAGGATTTGGGGACGGCGTCAATATTTATCATGTCATATCCTGCGAGAAACCCGGGGCTGGGGGCGTTGTTTATATCAGGGGTCAGCAACCTGTGGCTCTTTCATCCCTTGGCTGCGGCTCCGTCTCCGGTCGGCTCCGCAATCGGTACGGCTTTTGGTTAGGACAGGTAGAGGAAAAAGGATGCCGCGCTAGGNTGTTTATTTATCCCCTTCCCTTGTTTATTGTAAGCCGCCCAGAGTCCTTCGGGAGTGGGCGGCATACAAGATCAATAAACTAACTAACTAACTAACTAACTAACTTTGATACCAGATCTCCCCTAATTTGCAAGCAAAATCTGGTTTTACTTGTCAACGGGCAGACTTGGGCCAATCATGAATCCCAAAGAAACGGGGCCCTTGGGGGTATTAACGAAACTCCCCAATCCAATTGGTCACAGCTGTAAGAGGAACTGTGGTATTAATGTTAAGTGTTCATCTTCCCTGAGTCCTTACACCGCTTCCATGTTGGGCTCATGGCCCCGGATAGCACCCCGAAGTTTGGAGTAGCTGGTGAATTATTTTAAAGGAGATTCGGGTTAATGTCAGGGTTCCAAATAGCATCCAAAAGTAAATCAGAATCCGCGGCAAAGGATTCCTCAAAATTCCTCAATCTATGAAGTGGGCCATGTTGGCCCACCTGGGAAAACCCAAATCTGAAAACTTCCCGGTTTTCCCACCCTGTTTAAAGTTCAAGATCCTGCCCCCCACCCACACCCACAAGTCCATCCCATGGTCCAATCATCCACTGCCATGACGACAGATTCCTCCCATCCAGATCTGGCCAGATTTCCAAGGTTCAAAGACAAAGGATGACCTTGGCTTCTTAAAAAGAATGTTGTTATGGCTGCGTACCGTCTAACTCCATATAATCCCCCCCTCCCATTTTCCCACCATAGAAAATGAATAGCAGAAAGTGTTAACAGGCCTAAAGTCCACAAGGAAAGATGGCTTGCAGACAGTAAGATTTCCCCCCATCCCTCCCCAGAGATGGACCTTTTGTTCAGCTGTGTCCACTTCTTCCTCCAGTACAATTTTCCCCCAAATCAAAGTTCTCTCCGCAATTTCTACGGCTTCCGATGGAGGCAGAGATTTCAGTAGATCCAAGATGTCTTCTCCCTGAAAGCAGATCCGAGCATTAGGTCCAACCTTAATAGGACAGATGTTTGAGGAATATTAAACACGGGTGTTAAAGGCTTCTTTGACTTAACTTCTGAGGAGATCAACCCTGACTGTTCTTGGATTCAAACTCAACATTAGGGAAACTAAGATCCTGGCATCCGGGCCCTCTCAATCCCTGGCAAATGGATGGGGAAGAAATGGAGATAGTGACAGGTTTTATTTGCTTGGGCTCCAAGATCATTGCAGATGGGGACTGCAGCCAAGAAATTAAAAGACGCTCCAGAGGAAGAAAGTGATGGCAAATCTAGACACCATCCTAAAAAGCAGACATCACCCTACCAACAAAAGTGTGTCTAGTTAAGGGGATGGTTTTCCCAGTTGCAATGGACGGCTATGAAGGTTGGACCATGAGGAAGGCTGAGCGCCAAAGAATGGAGGCCTTTGAACTCTNAACTAACTAACTAACTAACTAACTAACTAACTAACTAACTAACTAACTAACTAACTAACTAGAAATTTCAAAAAATGATAGGTTCCACTTCAGAATCACTGGATTGGATTACAGAAATAACTGAAGGAGACTGCTGTTGCTTCCTAGACCAGGGTCTCCAATCTTGGCAAATTTAAGCCTGGAGGACTTCAACTCCCAGAATTCCCCCAGAATTCTGGGAGTTAAGGTCCACCAGGCTTAAAGTTGCCAAGGTTGGAGACCTTTGGTCTAGACCAAAGGTAATCAGAATGTTGGGCTCTATTATCCTCACATGAACTTAGCACAGGCATTTGAGAAAGGGACAATATTTCTAGATTTCATATGACTACATTTAAGAGAGTTCTTTGTGATACTGAGAGATACAGAAATACAGACCAGGAATGATAAGTGGCATGGAGAGATTTAAGCAAGACGTACATGGTGTAGAAGTAAGGGAAACAATGACAAGTATGGTTCTGGAAGGTGATGAAGCTAAATTACTTTAACATGCAATCTGAACTAGTGGTGACTGGGTCAGGAAAGTTCCTGACATTGTGGTGGATAAGGAGAAAAATAAGAGAAACAGCAGAGGGGAATTCCATCAGTACTGATCTGTAAAATAACTGGAACTATCAATACCAGAATATGCATACCTCAAACACCTATTCTGTAGATTATATATACCCATGCTTTGATAAAAGTCTGAAACCTGAAGTTCAATTTTATGTTGTTAAATATTAAAGAACATTTTCCTTGTGTGGTAAACTTTACTTTCATGCAACATTTCATGATCAAGGAAAGGCATTTAGAACTAGCTATCCCTCCCAGCTTGAAAATAAACCCCCATGCATAAGACTTTCTGTTACTCAAGAGCTGAGGTGAAAATGAAGTCAATATAAATAAGGCACGTTAACTTTTTATACACTCAAATGAAGTAATTGGAAAAATGACATGACATATCCAGAGGTGGGATGCTGCTGGTTCGCACCGGTTCAGGCGAATGCAGCCGCGCGAGTGATAGTGGGCGCACCGCGGTTCGCCCACATTACACCTATCCTCCGCGAGCTGCAC